AATAGACAACTAATTAAAATATAAAAATTGGTTTTAGTATGCGTTATTTTTATTTATATATGTAAAATCTACAATCACCTAATAATAATTAATAAAAAAATGTTATAAAGCAAATAATTTTAAGTACCGTCTTGGTTTTCATTAGGACCTGCATACAAACAATTTTTTTTATAAAATTAAGTATAATATACATATGTAAATAAATAAATGTATTTATAATAATAAAAAGTTAAACTATACTAATGTATACTTATTATAAAGTAATAAAGATACTTTGTTCATTGCCATTTTTTTGTCAGACTATCACAGTCATTTCTATAGGATGAATTACAATTTTTTCAAGTATGTGAGATCAGTATTAACAGTAAATGTACACAATGTATAGAAAAATGAACTTTATTTAAGTGGTAACATTATATATTTTTCGATATCTATACTTAATATTTTTTATAAACAAATTAAAAAAGGAAACCCGGTAAACTAGATTTATACCAATAATTTTGATGGTACTTATGTTATCAAAAAACTTAAAAAGCTATCCCGTAGATAAATGTCTACTTTATCCATTGTAAACATTAAGCCACCCTAGCATCCGCCACTCATCAAATGTACTTATAACACTTACCTCCGGGTCTTGCGTTTATGACTAAAATACAAAAAAAAACCTTTAGCTTAATTTTATTATACCAACCATAAAAATATCAATATATAAAATATACACAGTACTAAACAATATAAATATCTAAAAATATGTTTTTAACTACATCATTCACAAAAATGTATTTTTAAAAATATTATATATAATAATTTTACATGTAACTATTGACAAAACGAGAAAGAATAGTACTAATAACATTCTGGTAATATTGCTTTTAAATGACATACTTAAAACCGGAAAACAAAATTTTAATTTAATATTAACACTGAAACGTTTACGGTAAGTTGTTTTATAAGTCAACTTCAGCTTGAGATTATTTAAGTAATACAATACACGGTGTAGTACTTATAGGTTTATAGTGAAATCCAACACAAAAATATTTTTTTTTATGAAAAATCAAGAGTATATTTTGTATTATTTGTTTTTGAACCAAACCTACGTCGAGTACAAGAAACAGACCTTTAAGTCGAAAACAGCTCTTATATTTTTGTATCCACTATTTGGTTTCCATGACTAAATCTGTTTAAGACATTCATAAATACTCCACTAAAATATTATTTAAAAAAAAAAAACAACAACTTTTTTATTATTTGTTTTTAAACCAAACTCTTAGTAAAAAACTGTTTACTTAATTGAGTACATTAGATTTATATTTAACGTGATTTTTTTAATTCTAACTTGCATCGCTAATCGTAGCTGGCATTCAAAACATTTGGCTCAGATGACTTAATTATATTGAAGTATTATAACTATAAATACATATAACTATAATACCTTATCAAAATACCCAAATAGTATAGTTGAAAAAATAGGTAGGATTGCCTATTTGGTTTTTTACTTTTAAATATACCTATATGATGGAGACTCGGTCAATTTCCAAATTTATAGGAAAGGACATATAGATAAATAAGGCTTAAAAGAAAATAGTCATCTTTTTAATCAAAGCAGAATTTTAAAATTAAATTTAAACGGTGGTAAAATACGTTTTATTTATTCTTTGATATTATATGCTACATTTTTTTCTATATAATTCAGCAACAGAATAGTTGTTGCAATATTTTTTAAAAGAAGTACAACTATATGGCAAAGATTTTAATAGTAAACTAGTTTGAGGCAATAAAAAAAACATTCTTAATTTTATAACCTTCCTAATGAGTTGTTCTCACTGGAGAAAATAGATTTCATTTATTCTATATTTATTTTACAAGGAAGGTCACAGTAAAGGATTGACGGATTTTCTTCAAATTGCGAATAAATGTTATTTATGAAAAATAAAAAGATCCGTGTATTCGGTCGTTTGTGTCAATGCGTTTTAGTTCCAGAGATAATAGACTTAGAAATTTACTCTATACATTAAATAGACCTAATTAAGAGTCGCCAACAAAAACTATGTGTCGGTGCGGAAAGTTTATAAAAACTGTAATATCTACATTAATGGACAACAACGACTTAACTGTGTGGGCCTAGGTAGCTTAATGATTTTACTATAATGTCTCAGAATTAATGCCTGCTGTATTTTGATCAGTAAAAAATAGGCTACTTGAAAAATCTAAAAAAAAGTACAGAGGCCTCGTTCAAAATAATATTATAAAATATGATAGTAGCAATAACAAAAAGAAATTCATAACTGCCATTAGTTATTGCACAATGTATACTGACTCACTCTTCGACACAGAACTTCGTCACCTTTTTTTTTTATTAATTACATGTCGGCTGCCACAATACATTTAAACGACAGAGAAAAATAGGACCCAGAAAATAAAAATACACTGCGCCTAGATTTTGTTAGATTAACCCCGATTATAAATTATAGAGTGTAACTGCTGAAGGGTTGTATTTTAATTCCATATTCAATTGTGTTTATGGCATTACTAAGGCATATTTTAACCGTACTGTATACATTTATGATTGTTACTCGAAATGTGTTTATACAGATTTAGTCATGAAAAACAAATATTGGATACAAGAATATAAGAATTGTTTTCGACTTAAAGGTCTGTTTCTTGTTTTCGACATAGGTTTGGTTAAAAAACAAATAATACAAAATATGCTGTTGGTTTTTCATAAATAAATAATATTTTTGTGTTTGATTTCACTGTAAGCCGATAAATACTACACCATTTATTGTATTTCTTAAACATTCTCAAGCCGAAGTTGACTTATAAAACAACTTACCTAAAAGTTTGGTTTAAAAACAAATAATACAATTGTTGTTGTTTTTTTTATTGAGTAAATTAATAAATTTTACATTTTTATCGAATATAACATTGTTTTTCGTTGAGCCTCTGACCCAATTTTTTATAACACATGCCTCATAGCCTATGAGTCATAGGTGCGATTTAAGGTTTTTTTTCACTTTTTATATTATATTTTCTTAGATATTAAGTTATTTTAAGAAACGATTTTTTTTTATTATTTTACTTTATATGTTTTAACAAACAAGCATGCTAAGTAGAACTCTACTTTACATAGGTTATAGCGAATACTTGTTATGTTTCTGTTCTGATTTCTTCTTAATATTTTAGTTGTAATTAATAATTACAATTAACTACATATGTAATTTTATATAGTTTAACTAAAAAAAATATACAACTAATATCAGCTGCAAGTATAACGTTTGGTAGTTGGAATAAAAATAAAAATTCGGACACTGCAATTACTCATCGGTTTTAGGCACATAGATTATGTCTTAAAAATGTATCCTAAAAAAGCGGCTTTAATTTATATTTAACATGTTATAAGTTAATAAAGAACTACAATTGTAAAATCTCGAATTCAGTTTTGGTGTTTAACATTTATTTATAAATAGCTATAAAAAATATGTTTTTTCACCCATCAAGTGATTTAGCTACACGGTTAATCAATAATCATATTAATTTAACTACACATAATACAGTATTTTTTACAGTGACTGTTTAAATATAAACAAATTACTCATAACTGTTGGCGTACATTTTTAAGTGTTTTGTTATGTTATTTGTGTACTTAAATGTTTGAGCTTTTTATTTTCTTACGTTGTAGAACCATGACCATAGTAAAGTACTCAAAATACCAACAAAAAAAACTTGAAAATACAAAGCTAAAATTTACAGCACCAAATTATATAATAAAAATAATTATAATTTAGGTTTTGTACTTATTGAATATCGATAGAAGTAAGAATTATAATCTTATTCGAAATCTTTGAAAAAAATGTATGTAAATTATTGAAACATAAAGATGCTACCGTGCAAGAAATATAGTTGGTCAAACGTTTATATACAAAAACACGAGTAAGTAATATATATGTTGATTTCAGTCAATAATAGGTGTACCGTGTAATTAACAAAAAAAAGACGTTTTAAAATTGGCCGAATAGTAAATGTTTATTATGTTTTAGTAAAATATATAATTTTGGTTTTGAAAAATTTTGTACACAATTTAATAGACGATTATGTTGGAAACTGTATATTATAATGACACTTTTGGATCCTTCCTGAAAAAAAAAATAAAATTAAAAATCTGATTTTTTTTTTATGACACTATTGTTAAAATACTACTATTGTAAATTGTTTAAGCATTTCAGAATTCTACTTTTTAAAACTACATTTCCTTAAAAAAAAAAATTATTTAACAGAAAGGTATAAACTATTTTGGAAAATTTAATATAATACAGATTTGTATTAAATTTCATTTAGCTAAATTATATATTTAACAGAAATATACACAGGTCTCTTTATTTCTAAAGGCATATGTGACATATTTTGAGTTTAAATCCGGTTATGTACGTTCTCAAATTGTTTAGATTTCTTTATCAGAAGAAAAGTTGCAATCAGTTTATTTTAAATAACCTGTATATTTCAATAGTTAGGTTAGCTTACTCCGCCATCATCAACGATGATGACAACGATGTAAGCATAATATTTAATTATTTAATTATTAACTTAAAGATATACCAACTTAATTTTTAGTCTTCTTTAACATAACCAAAACAGTTCTTATAAGGATTCTCATCTTTATTACCCATAATTCTTGTTCTAACACAATATATACAATACATGCAAGGACAGAATACTCCCATTGTCACTTGATCTATACAATTGTTTCCTGGTACATCTACTGAACAAAATGAATACAAATCAAATTAGGAAGTAGCATAGTAGATTAATATCTAACATAGTAAGAATCTTACATACATCTTACAATACATATAATATAATATATGCAATATAATTATTACAAAAAAATACGAATATTGTGTGAATTTTGATTTATTATTTTGTAAACGTACACAAACAAACGGGGGTAAGTCAAATGGACCATACAATAAAACATGTGTACAATTAAACTAAATAAAAAATATTAAATACAAAATAAGTATGGTAATTTTTCGAGTGACTTATTACTGTAATTGTGTAAAAATTAATTGTGCCTTAGTAATTCACATCAATCAAATTAGTATTGCATAGGTGCCTCTCTTTCTAGCCTACAGATTTATATTTTAAAAATCACCAAAATAAAATATCAAAACTTCTTATCGACCATTCTTAGTTTCCGGATTACACTGCTTAAATAAAAATAACTTTAGGCCACTTATGTAGACAGTGAAATATAGTTCATATTTGTTAGAATCTTATTATTAAAATAATAAAAATATTATTTAACATATTTATTATTGTTTTGTAAACTTAAACATACTTATTTTCCGTGTCTGTTGTGCTGGCGGGATTACTAAAAATAAATGAAGTTATTATAATCCAAATGGACCATACAATAAAACAAATGTACAAATAAACAATATCAAGTACAAAATAAATAAGATATAGTGCAATTTGTTAGAATATTATTATTAAAATAATAAAAATATTATTTAACTTGTTGCTTATTGTTTTGTAAGCTTAAACATACTCGATTGCCGTGTCTGTGGTGCTGGCGGGGTTCCTGAAAATAAATAAAGTTATTATAACCCAAATGGACCATACAATAAAACAAATGTACAAATAAACAATATCAAGTACAAAATAAATAAGATAATCAAAACTATTAGTCAAGCTATTAGAATTTATGGGACCAGCTTTTTTTGCTATAAGAATTTCTTAATTAAAAAAAATTGGTATTAAATAAGTGCGCCTTTTTTCTTGCCAACAGGTTTATACTTTAAAAATCGCCAAAATAAAATTTCAAAACTTTTTACCGACCATTCTTAGTTTCTAGATTACACTGCCTAAATAAAAATTACTTTTGGCCACTTATGTAGACAGTAAAATATAGTTCATATTTGTTAGAATCTTATTATTAAAATAATAAAAATATTATTTAACATATTTATTATTGTTTTGTAAACTTAAACATACTTGATTGCCGTGTCTGTGGTGCTGGCGGGGTTACTGAAAATAAATAAAGTTATTATAATCCAAATGGACCATACAATAAAACAAATGTACAAATAAACAATATCAAGTACAAAATAAATAAGATATAGTGCAATTTGTTAGAATATTACTATTAAAATAATAAAAATATTATTTAACTTATTGCTTATTGTTTTGTAAACTTAAACATACTTGATTCCTGTTGTATCGCTGTTGCTGACGGGGTTACTGAAAATGCATAAAGTTGTTATAAGCCAAAGGACCATAAAATAAAATGAATGTGTTGAAATAGTCAATAAATAATTCATATTATATTCTTCTTAGAATATAAGTTATCATTAATATTATTTTAGATTAACTTGTTTACTTAATAAGCAAAATATTATGACGTGATTTTCATATTAACTAATCAAAGGTGTTTAAAGTAATTCGCGTGTTAATTGACGTCAATAGTATTATTGCTTTGTATGCAGTTTTTTTGTTCTAGAATATTCTTTTGGTCTTATATGAAAGGGAGATCTTATTCACTCATTTTTTTACGTAGTATAACAAGTCTTTATTATTACTTTATATTGTATTCAGTATTAGTGTTTTATGATTACTATAGAACTTGTGTTTAATTCTTATTTTTGTCTTGATCCACGTACATACACACCTCAATATCCAACAAAATTTACAAATAAACAATATCAAAAACAAAATAAAAACTATTAGTCAAACTATTAGAATTTATCGGACCAACTTTTTTTAGCTTAAGTAACTTTAAAATAAAAAAAATTGGTATTGAATAAGTGCGCCTCTTCTCTTGCCAACAGATTTCTACTTTAAAAATCGCCGAAAATAAAATTTCAAAACTACTGAATAAAATGGACAACTAATTAAATTATAAAAATTGCTTTTAGTATGCGTTATTTTTATTTATATAAAATTATTGTAAAATCTACAAGCACCTACTAATAATTACTAAAAAAATCAAATAATTATACATACCGTTATGGGTTTCAGAAGGACCTGAATACAAACAATTTTTTTTATAAAATAAGTATAATATACATATGGAATAGGTACCTCATTAAATTAATTTTTTTTATATTTGAACATATTTTTTAGTATAATTGAAAAATATTAACGGATTTGTTTGGTCTTAGCGAGCGTTAGGCCAATATTTAATGTAGAAATATGTGAAAAATTTTTGTTTTGGTGTATGATAATTCCAGCAGATCTAACATGGTTTCCGATATCTATACTTAATATTTTTTATAAAAAAATTAAAAGAGTAAACACGGTAAACTAGGTTCACACCAATTAAGGGGCTACAATGCAAAACGTGCTATCGCCAAAAATTATCGAAATTGACTTATACGTCAGTTCTTAAAGTAAAAAAGACGGGGATTCGAATGAAGTTGTCAGATTGTGCTAAAACGTACTATTTCTTATGTTAAAGTTTCGTAATTTTTGCAAAATGCTATATTTCCATCGACAAAATCATGACGAAAAGAACTATTTGCAAATCGCATCAAAACGCACTATTTCCCATGATAATTAGTGTAAAACAAATAATAAATGAAGCAAAATGTACTATTTTCTAGAATTTATGCAGAACGTACTATTTACAGATTGAAGCAAAACGATTTATTTCACATGTTAATCTACAGCTATACTAATTAAATTATTTGCATAACGTACTATTTAGCGGAAAAATGTAGTTGACATTTAAATTTTATTTGTCATTTATTTAAATATTTATTGAAAAAATAATATGGGACTATAGTTTTTTATTTTATTTACTAGTTGGTGCAACTAATACAATTCTGATATCGTTTTGGGAGTAAATATTTTGATAACACATTTCGCATCATGACTATTATGTGAACACACACTATTTACTATGCGAGTACCTACAGATTTATATTTTAAAAATCTCCAAAATAAAATATCAAAAATTCTTATCGACCAATCTTATAGTTAGTTTCCGGATTACACTGCTTGAATAAAAATTACTTTTGACCACGTATGTAGACAGTATAATATAGTGCAATTTGTTAGAATTTTATTGTTAAAATAATAAAAATATTATTTAACTTATTGATTATTGTTTTGTATACTTAAACATACCTGGTTCCTGTGTCTGTGTTGCTGGCGAAGTTACTGTAAATGAATAAAGTTATTATAAGCCAAATGGACCATACAATAAAACAAATGTACAAATAAACAATATCAAATACAAAATATAAGATAATCAAAACTTTTAGTCAAGCTATTCAAATTTATCGGACCAGCTTTTTTTGTCATAAGGAACTCTTAAATAAAAAAAATTGGTAATGAATAAGTGCGCCTCTTCTGTTGCCAACAGATTTATACATTATAAATCACCAAATTATAATTTCAAAACTTTTTATCGACCAATATTAGTTTCCGGATTACACTACTAGTCCAGTCGACAACTACTTAATACCTTCGAAAAATTCCGACTTTAATGAAACTTCGTGAAGTAGTTTATGGTTGTCCAGTAGTGCTTCGCCGAAATTATCCAACAAAAAAACCGTGTATAATTTTGGGGAGGGGGGATAATACCAAAATTTTCGCACTTATTTTTGTTTTTTCATTATATTGAAAAAAACGGTAAACTTTAGCTAATCACATTGAATTAGTAAATTTAGAAGGCTAAATTTCCTAAAATTTTCAAGTACAAAACTTTTTTTTTGACAGAATAGGTACTGAGATACAGAGTTTTAAAAAGTACAAAATTTCTCAAAATCGTAAATATAATATAATTCTAACTACTAAATAAAATGGACAACTAGTTAAAATTTAAAAATTGGTTTTAGTATGCGATATTTTTATTTATATAAAATTATTGTAAAATCTACAATCTCCTAGTAATAATAAATGAAAAAATGAAAAAAAGCAAATAATTATACATACCGTCTTGGTTTTCAAAAGGACCTGCATACAAATAATTTTTTTTAAAAACATTTTTTTATATATGAACATATCTTTTAGTCTAAAATATTAACGAATTTGTTTGATCTTAGCGAGCGTCAGGTCAATATTTAATGTAGAAATATGTGAAATATTTTTGTCAGACTATCACAGTAATTTCTATTGGACAAAATACAATTTTTTCAAGTGTGTGAGCCCAATATTAACAGTAAATTTACACAATGTATAGAAAAATAAACTTTATCCACGGGGTAACATTTTAATTTTTTTGATATCTAAACTTAATTTTTTTTTATAAACAAATGAAAAAAGGAAACCCGGTACACTAACTTTAGACCAATAATTTTAATTGTACTTGTGTTATCAAAAAACTTAAAACGCCACCCCGTAGATAAAGTTCTACTTTATCCATTGTAAAAATTACGCCACCCTAGCATCCGCCGCAAATGTACTTATTACACTTACCTCCGGGTCTTGCGTTTATGACTGAAATACAAAAAAAACTTGAACTTAATTTTACCATACCAACCATCAAAATATCAATAAAATAAATACACACTGTACTAAACAATATGCATATCTAAAAATATATTTTTAACTACATCATTCAAAAAATTGATTTTTTAAAATATTATATAATAATAATATTACCTGTAACTATTGTCAAAACAAGAAAGAATAGTACTAATAACATTCTGGTAATATTGCTTTTAAATGACATACTTAAAACCGTTGCAGCTAACGGAAAACAAAATTTTAATTTTTGTTAACACTGAAACGTTACGGTAAGTTGTTTTAAAAGTCAAGTTCGGCTTGAGAATGTTTAAGAAGTACAATAAACGGTGTAGTACTTATAAGTTTACAGTAAAATCCAACACAAAAATATTATTTATTTATGAAAAATCAACAGCATATTTTGTATTTTTTGTTTTTGAACCAAACCTACGTCGAATACAAGGAACAGACTTTTAAGTCGAAAACAATTCTTATATTCTTGTATCCCATGTTTGGTTTTCATGACTTAATCTGTGTATCACATTCAGTAAAATCTTCCACTAAAATATTATTATTTTTAAAAAAAACAACAACATTTTTATAATTTGTTTTTAAACCAAACTTTTAGCCAAAAACTGTTTACTTAATTGAATACATCAGATTTACATTTAACGTAATTTTTTTAATTCTAACTTGCATCGCTAATCGTAGCTGGCATTCAAAACTTTTGGCTCAGATGACTTAATTATATTGAAGTATTATAACTATAAATACATATAACTATAATACCTTATCAAAATACCCAAATAGTATAGTTGAAAAAATAGGTAGGATTGCCTATTTGGTTTTTTACTTTTAAATATACCTATATGATGGAGACTCGGTCAATTTCCAAATTTATAGGAAAGGACATATAGATAAATAAGGCTTAAAAGAAAATAGTCATCTTTTGAATCAAAGCAGAATTTTAAAATTAAATTTAAACGGTGGTAAAATACGTTTTATTTATTCTTTGATATTATATGCTACATTTTTTTCTATATAATTCAGCAACAGCATAGTTGTTGCAATATTTTTTAAAAGAAGTACAACTATATGGCAAAGATTTTAATAGTAAACTAGTTTGAGGCAATAAAAAAAACATTCTTAATTTTATAACCTTCCGAATGAGTTGTTCTCACTAAAGAAAATAGATTTCATTTATTCTATATTTATTTTACAAGGGAAGGTCACAGTAAAGGATTGACGGATTTTCTTCAAATTGCGAATAAATGTTATTTATGAAAAATAAAAAGATCCGTGTATTCGGTCGTTTGTGTCAATGCGTTTTAACTTAGAAATTTACTCTATATATTAAATAGACCTATTTAAGAGCCGCCAACAAAAGCTATGTGTCGGTGCGGAAAGTTAAACGTTTATAAAAACTGTAATGGACAACAACGACTTAACTGTGTGGGCCTAGGTAGCTTAATGATTTTACTATAATGTCTCAGAATTAATGCCTGCTGTATTTTGATCAGTAAAAAATAGGCTACTTGAAAAATCTAAAAAAAAGTACAGAGGCCTCGTTCAAAATAATATTATAAAATATGATAGTAGCAATAACAAAAAGAAATTCATAACTGCCATTAGTTATTGCACAATGTATACTGACTCACTCTTCGACACAGAACTTCGTCACCTTTTTTTTTTATTAATTACATGTCGGCTGCCACAATACATTTAAACGACAGAGAAAAATAGGACCCAGAAAATAAAAATACACTGCGCCTAGATTTTGTTAGATTAACCCCGATTATAAATTATAGAGTGTAACTGCTGAAGGGTTGTATTTTAATCATTTTTTTTTTATTATTGAATTTGTACCATT